AAGCAATAAAAAATACGGCACTGGTCAACTGTGATTTTCGAGCAGAGTAGCTGCCATTCGTTACCAACCTAGGACTTTATACTGATTCACTGTGGGCCAGAAGACTGAAAAAGTGGCCAAAAACCAATGTAAATTAAAAGTTTAAATTGATAAACTTATATAATATAGACACTTTGAAGTATGCAAAAATAAAGTATTATGGCATTTGAAACATTTCGTTATGTACATAACAAATTCAGAATCCATAAAATCTGAGAAAGCGCGTTTTTAAGCTTTAATTATGAAAAAATTTTATAAATTTATTATCAAATTCTAAAACTATAGATCTAGCTCTTGTATTTGTTTAAATTATACAGGTTTACAAAAAAAGTGTTTGCATATTGAACCAAACCTCTGCATCCCTATGCGCTAAATGCGAATCCGAGGTCTGTTAGCCCCCGTCACGTCAGGTTCGAGGTCATTTGAAGGTCAAGTAGGGAAAAATTCATTGAATACTCGTGAAAATTAATAATATGTGGTTTTTGACTCGCTGAACGCGAATCTGAGGTCGGTTAACCTCCATAATGTTAGGTCAAATAGGGCAAACAATTTATTAAATAAACAAAAAAATTGTTTTTTTTTTTCTTTGTCTATATTGAAATCAGTAATTTGTTTTTATCAGTAAAGATTATATCTTATTGTACTCATGTTTTTATATTTAATAACATGAAATGAAAATGAAATGAATCCGAATATGGGATTCTTCAAGGCCATCTAGAGGTCATATCAAGGTCATTCCAAGGTCAAATTTAGAAGAATTGCATATAATTTTCAGGTTTATTCAATGAATTTTTCCCTACTTGACCTTTAAATGACCTGAACCTGACCTGATGGAGGCTAACAGACCTCGGACTCGCATTCAGGGCGTCGAATATCATAGGCATATAAAGGTTTGGTTCAATATGCAGAAACTTTTTTCGAAATTTCGAAAATTCCATTCAAATAATTTAATAATCAATGCCATCAGATGCACACCGTTCGTTCGATTTTCAAAAGTCAGGTGCCAAATCAAAGGGCTCTGGCTGTAGGTGTGCAATAAGGTTTAACTTTTTCGAAAACAGTTGCCACCTTTTAAAAAATTAAGTTCAAATTATTTAAAAAAATAAATCCATTATTACAAGCTGGGTATCAATCGAAATGGGTTTTAAAAGCTTCGTTTTTTAGCTGAACTATTGGAGGGTTGCCACCTGTTTAAAAAATCAAATTCAATTTGAATTAGAGGAATTAGTTAGGAGAAACGTGTTTCAACATATGCGTGCCAAACGAAGGTTCAGAAGGAAGTAGTTTGAAAATATTTTAAATAGGGTTGCCACCTGCTTGAAATGTTCAATTTAGTTAACTTATCCACAAGTTCTATGAAATGTCAATATATGGATGGCAAACAAAAGAGTGCTTAGAAGTTTAAGAATATTTCTGTGGTGTTGGAAGAGGGTTGCCACCTGTTTAAAAATTGAATTAAAAATATGAAAAAAGTTATATTAATTATTGAAATGTGCGTATAAATCGTATGCGGCTTGAAAAATCTTTATTTCTGAACTATAGTTAGTGGGGTTGCCAAGTGTTTAAAAATAAAATTCAACTTCATTCATCAGCTAATTAAAATATGTATCGCAATGTTAGACAAAGAATATTTAAGATTGTCTTAGCGCGAAACTACTTTTGAAGAGGGTTCCCACCTGTTAAAAAAGTCGAATTTAATTAACTTTCACGCAAGTTGTTTGATATATGAAGCCAAAGGGTGTTAAGAAAACTTGAGTTTCAACATTTATAATGTTTGAAGAGGGTTGCCACGTGTTTATAAAGTATCCTTCAAATTATTTAATAAGTTGGATGAATTATTAAAGGAAGAGTATCACCGAAATGATTTTGAAAGGCTTTTTTTCTGAGATATATTTAGGAGGGTTGCCAGTTGTTTAAAAAATTCAACTCAACCTAAGTTAAGGCAATTACCTTATTCAAACATGTATTAAAATTTGGTTGCATATATTGGTGTCAAACGAAAGAGTGTTAAGAAATATTTAGTTGGAACACTAGAAATATTTTTAGGTGTTTACAGAGGGTTGCCACCTGTTCAAAAATTCACTATTATTATTCACACTATTGAATTCTTGGAGACGTATTTATCAAAGTTGTTACTAAAATAAAAATATTTTACTTTCACCTTTCCCGCTTTCCACTGTTTACTGTTTATGGTCTTAGAGACGGTAAGAAAGTATAAAAATTGATGCTAAACAATAAAACATCGATGTTTTTCACATCTCCACGACCTTCCCTGACTTATGCCATCAAATGCAAAAAAAGTCACGAAATTAAATCTACGATAAGTTTATTTGATCTATTCTCACATAAACACCAAATCTTGATTATCGGTGCATATAGTCTATGCCTTGACAAAAGCTATTCCTTTGCCTAAACCAAATTTAACGCTTATTAATTTAATGAACACTTCATCTAGCCTCAGACCCTTTATCATCGTATATGCCAACAGCAGCTGGGAAATGTAAAATAGGTACTTGAATATTAAATGCACTCGACTTATGCGATTATATCGGGTCACGGCTGTTCTTGGATTTTCAAGTGGATCATTACAAAGAAAGTACTTCATACCCTGCATATAAGTGTAACACCATTTCTTGTAGTCGAATAGACGCGTATCGCAGAGGAATAACTTTTCATCTACAGCATCCATTCGCTTCCAGACGTTGCGCATATTATCATTATCGAATTTCCAATCGTACTGCGTGAAGTAGGCGATTACATTCAGAAATAGTTGCGTTTTGCGCACCCAAGGTAAGACGCTTGTGAGGAAAAGAAATATGAATGTGAGTATGCTCTCTGATATTTAGACCTTTCTACTTACCGTTCTTTTCTTCCAACTATTTTTAGACCAAAATCAATCGCCAAAGTGCCTATCAGATGATAGTATATACTAAGATACTTGAATAACAGCTGATTGTCAATTAAATTTGGACACAAAACCCATAAGTGCCGTTGCAACGGGTTTGTAAGATAATGCGACAAAGTCTCTGACGTTACAAATCCCGCTGGTGTGTATGTCGAAGATACCAAAGCGTATACTTTGGGACTCGGTGGCGTTGGTGATACCTTTCTATGGTCCTCAACATCCTGATGCATTGCCCAAGTGGCTGCCAATATCGCATTCACTGTGAAATCGGCACAGATTATATCTAAGTGTTTATCCTTGTGAACGGGCAGAAGACGCGATAGGCCAGCAGCCAGGGCAAAAATCGAACCTGTGATGCCGTAAACATTATTTATCCAACCCGCTATGGGTTCACGATTGGTCGAAATCACTATGCTAGGGCGCGAGACGCAAGTTGGAAACTTTTCAGCGCTACGCCTCACCAA